AGGGTCAGGGTTAGGGCTAATTGTAATTTATATTCTATGTTCGTGAATGGTGCGTCAGATGCGCATGCACATACGACTAAAAAAACATACGAAATTACGGTGCATAACTTTTCGTACGATTTCATACGAACTCATAATGAGAATACACTGCCTATGGGGCTCCGTAAGTGATAAACAAACCGAAAAAAACCCTCTCTTTCAATTTTCGTACTTTTTTAAAAAGTTCCAGTGAGCTGCAAGGGAGATGGCGCTAACGAGCCACGGGTTGGTGACCCCTGGGCTAGGTATGCATTAGTAATGGTTATTTTTAGGGTTAGGGCACAGAAAGGTTTGAAAAGGACTTAAAATCAACGGAAGTTAATGGGAATCACTAGATATAGCAAAATGCGTGTGTTAGTGTGTGCGTTGGCACTCCTTTTGATCACACACACATATTTTATCCAAGCGTATGTGTTTTTCATACATCGTGGGGCCCATTTTCTGGAAATGCAACATGCTGTGGGGTCTTACACAACTTTCCTGAAACTTAGACAGAGGTCTTCCCTTTCCTGCTTACCACAGGCCTTTCCCTCACTGTTAATGAGGATGCGTTGAACAGGCGACCTGACCAGTACTTCACCACCTGCCTGCTGAATGACAGGAACGATGTGGAAGGCAATCTCACTGGAACCCCCATATGGATAGTACGCCCCACGTTTGTAGTGATGCAGAAGAAGAGCGTTGATGAGAAAGCTTGACTCTTTAGGAGGAACACCTACAATGGAGAGGACATACAAACAGTTAGTAGTCCGAGTAGTGCATAACTTATAAGTACTTTGTGAGTAAAGATCACCATAGAAAAGGTAGGCAGAGAGAGCCTGCAGGTCTTTGTTCTGAGTGAGTCGGGACATCATTTCTGAATGCCTGGTTGTTGCTAGTTGAAAAATAGAAGATATTTTATCCAATAGGCCCGTCCAAATCAGAAAGTTCACCAATGGGTAGGGCAGCATCTTCAGTATGGCAAGAAGGGGAGCTCTCCGTGAAGCGTGCTGCAGAGGAACAAAGTCTGATTTATTCATCAGAATATGATCAAGCTTTCCTTTCAAAGCATCTTTCATTGCAGACATACAGCTAAATGATTTTATTTAAACAAAGACGCTAATGGAGTTAGCTCACATCATAGACGCTTCTTTCCATATCTCCCTTGTAAAAAGAGATTGTAATTCTCATTAGGGATTTCCTGATTAAATAAACATATAATAAATAAAGCAAAAAACTTATTTTGGTGTGCTAATGTATTTCAATAATGGGGATTTTGTTATTCCTTCCTATCATATGCGGGATGTGGTCTCCAAACATCACTTTGGTATCATTCCTGATGCACATGTTCCTCAAATCTAATTAAAATTCATTGGCATTAATGTAAAACCATAAATAGAATTTACTACTGAATGCTATCACCAAGTCCCCAAAGTGATGGATTAAATTACAAATATCATGCACCAGGCTGCACTCATAAACTCAGAAATACTTTTTGCAGGAAGTTTTAATGTAGGGTAAAAAATAAAAAATAAATCACAACTAAAGCATCCTAGTTGACTGAACAGATCATCCTCCATTGGACTCCTTTAATGAAACGGTGTTGATCAAATGCTTTTTTTTTCGCAGTTTAGCAGCAAATAAAGAATTCTCCAATTTAGTTTCAATCAAATAAAATTTGATAAACATTTTACCACAACTGCCTTTAAGTTTTGTAAGTTTTCCAAAATGTGTTTAAGATTTAGTCTTTAGATCTTAGGTGTTCAACTAAATAGTTGCTTATCAAATGGATTTACTCTCACTGTCACTGTTCTATTGAACACACACATAAACTTAAAACTATCAGAATAAATATATGGTAAGTGGCCTGTGCTTGTATCGTGCTTTATCAAGTTAGTAGACTTGACTAAAGCGCTTTACACTACATTCAGTCATTCATGCATTCATTGGAGGAACCGACAACCGTCCGATTGCAGGACAAACTCCTACACCCCACACCACTGTCACCCAAATAAAACTCTTCATGATTTAGTTCAAAATAGATGCTTTCACAACCACTTAAAGGGATATTTTACACACAGCTTTCCTCCTTGTTTCAAATGTGGAAATATTAGAAATAAAACATGACTTAAAAATCAAAAATGCGTGTAAAAACCCAGAAAACGTCCCATGTTTCTCATTGGTTCAACATGTGGATAATCTGGCATGTATGAAATATGGCTCTTATGTTTGGGCTTTTAGTTGTCATTACATGTTTTATAACTTGTTGTACTGCAAAATATGGAAAATACTCATAGAATAAGTGTATTTG